AGAAGTTTCTGGTCCCACTTTTTTTTTTTTTTTTTTTTTTTTTTTGTAAAATCCTCAGACTAGTGTGGATAAGACACTTCCACCATGATGTGCTACCTCAGCATAGGCCCAGAGTACCTACAGCCTGGATCTCTAAAACTAAACATTAAAATAAAGTCTTGCTGTAGGCGACCTTGTAAGTCTGAGCTCACTAGGGCCTTAAATAGCCATCTGGTAATATATCCAAATACTGTTTGATTTGTTTGTTTGTTTTACCTCTGGCTGGGCCTGAGGTGCTCCTGCTAAATACCTGAGAAAAGAAATCTCATTGTGGAATTCTAGGTTGTAATAACAAAAATCACATTCAGGGTAAGTTTCTTTAGCCATTGAGATGTCTCAGCAGGTAAAGACCTCCAAGTCTCACAGCCCAAGTTGCATTTTTAGAACCCACACAGTAGGAGAGATGTGGCTTCCTCGTGTGGTCATTTATTTGCCACATGCATGTTGTGGCACACTTGCATACACAGATACAGGCCGACATAGACACAAAACAAAACAAATTTTTTGTAATAATTCCTTGAATTATAGTTGTTGGAGTTAAGAGCTACTAGATACTGGCATAAATCCCAAAATCACATAAGCAGAAAGTCCCTTACTTGGGCAACCTAAATGACTCTCCTGTTCACCCCTGTGGGCATGAGTTTTTCGAGTCATGCTAATTTTTGTGGTATGTTTGTTTCTCTCAAATTCTTCCTCTATTTTTCTGTATCTTTGCTTTGTTTTTTTTTTGTATTTGTGTTGCCTTTGTCACCTCAGCTTTTACAAGTCACTCTGTTGCACTCAGACTTCACGGCAACAGCTGAGTACAGCTTTCAGGCTTGAGCTCGTGCAACTCTTCCTGTTGAGGGTCATACTCAGTGTGGTCCCAGATCAGGGATGGAGCAAGCCAATTGCTTAGAACTATGCCAGGAATTCAGGTTCAGCTAGACCCAGTCCTCCTCAGAAACTGGTGGTAGGACCCAGCAATCTGTCCAGCATCCCTGGAGACTCTAATCCTATTGAATATAAGTACTTACACAGCACAAAGAAAAGAGGCTTACAGATGGGAGTGAAGACAGTGTAGAAATGCCTGATTTCCCGCTGCTTCTGCGGGAAAACCAGCTGGCTTTCTGGAGAGATAGCACATACCTATGGGGATTCCTGAAGGTTTGTTTTCCAGAACAATTGTGTTCAATTAGGAATGGATGAATCCACTGTAAAAAGTTAACAGTGAAAGGTGTGTGTGTGAGAGAGAGAGAGAGATTTATAATACTTTTAGAATCTTTATCTTCATAAAACATTTTGAATTCTAGTAAATTTTCAGTAGACTAGTAAATTATTTTTAAAGTAACAATGAAAGAAAACAATTTATTTAGATTACTGTAATAAGTGAGTTCAGTTCTAGATAGTAAGATCTTATCTAGGGCTGGGGACACTGGATTGTATCCAGTATCGATGCTTAAAATAAATCTTATCCTTGCTTATTTATAAACTACACTGTTGCTGAAGCTGGTTGATTCCAGTTATTTTTCAATCTGATAGATAAAAATGCTTTTGCAAATTTGTACAAAAGATCTAAAAAAGTACCAAGCTAACATTGCACTGGCTGCAGGAGAGAAATAAAGTTAATCTCTTCCAAGTAGGCAAATGAGGTGCGATGTAGGATCTTTTTCCCTGAGGAATTACTATAAGAAAAGAATTCTCTTACTTTAAGGAAAGTGCACAATGCAGTCTGATCAGGACACTATCCCAATCGTGTGTAATTTGGCCTTTTACCTTTTGGACAAGATCAACTTTTAGCCATAAGCAAAACCAATCTCATTATTATTAGTAGCAAAATAAAGACCAAACAAGCCCAAGTCAGGGGCATCGGGTGATTCTGTATGAGGGGAACTCTGTGTGTTGCTGGCCTTGTCAGCACTGCACTAGTACTGATTTGTGCTGTGATTTGGCAGATCTGGGTTGATGAAGTCAGAAAGCTGGTGTACTTTGAAGGCACCAAAGACTCTCCTTTGGAACATCACCTGTATGTGACCAGTTACACAAACCCTGGCGAAGTGGTGAGGCTGACTGATCGAGGCTACTCACATTCTTGCTGCCTCAGTCAGGTACTGTGTCCCAGTTGGGAGGGATCCTGTCATAGAAATTGTCATACAAATTCCCTTTGAGTAATGTGAAAATTGGTGACATTGGCCCACAGAAGCCTTGTCTAGGAAAAGCACTGTGTGTTTGTGTTGTGTGACGTTTTACTCTTTTGGCTTTGAGGGGGCTTACCACCCAGCTCCCAAGTAAATCACATACAGAGAGTTTATTCTTACTTATGAATGCTTGGCCTTAGCTTGGCTTGTTTCTTGCCAGCTTTTCTTAAATTATCCTGACCACCTTTTGCCTCTGGTCTTTTTCATTTTCTTACTTCTGTATATCTTACTTTCACTCTTATTCCGTTGCTGGCTAGGTGGTTGCCCCTGACCTCCTCCTCCTCATTGCTTGCCCTCTTCCTCATTTCTCCTTCTATTTATACTCTATGCGTGCTAGTCCCACCTGTCCTTGCTCCTGCCTCACTATTGGCCGGCCATTCAGCTCTTTATTAGACCATCAGATGTTTTAGACAGGCATAGAATCAGAGCTTCACAGAGTTAAACAAATGCAGCGTAAACAAAAGTCACACACGTTAAAATAATATTCCCCAACATGTTTGACTGAGTTGTCAAACTCCCATTGCCGTAGCACTGGTGTGTATGATCATGGTAGCCTTCCTTGCCTTTCCCATGGAAAGCTGTTGTTGTCTCTCTTTTCTCTAGCATTGTGACTTCTTTATAAGTAAGTACAGCAACCAGAAGAACCCGCACTGCGTGTCCCTCTACAAACTCTCAAGTCCTGAAGATGACCCAGTTCGTAAAACAAAGGAATTTTGGGCCACCATTTTGGATTCAGCAGGTATCCCTTACGCCTGAACCTAGGCTTAACTAAGATTGGTACCAGAGTGCACTGTGCTGGGGTCTTGTGTCCATGTCTCTTGGGTTGTCTTCCAATTGCTCAGCCCTGCCTATCTCTGAGCTGCTGAGCTTCAGGTGAACCTCATTTCCCGTTCTGTAAATTACTGAATGAGCTGGGTTTCCTCTTCTCTAAGCAGGAACATGTCTAGAAAACCTTTTTAAAAAGCAGATTGAGATAATGTATTCTGAACTTAATAAGACACTTTGAGTAGCGAGGTTGACCCTTTAGAGAATAACTAGTTGGTTGCTTTCTCTAAGTTCCGAAGTCTTTGCAGTAGCCATCTTAGTAGTGGCCAGCACACTTGCTCACTGTGTGAGCAAAGAGGACTGCTGTCCCAGACTCTCATTCTGTAGCCCAGGATTGACCTTACTATGGAACCCAAACTATCCTTGAACTCAACAGTCCTCCTACCTTGGCCTCTCAAATGCTAGTGTTTCAGGCATGAGCTACCATGTGGTCTTTTTTTAACTCTTGCTTTCTGTATTAGTTACTTTGTAAATGCTCTGACAAAAATCCCTGACAAGAGCATCTTATGCCAAAGGTTCCTTATCTCAGGCAGAAGCAGGATCTCTGTGAGTTCAAGGTCAACCTGGTCTACAGAGTGAGTTTCGGGACAGGTTCCAAAGTAACACAGAGAAACCATGTCTTGGAAAACCAAAGAAAAGGTTCGTTTTGTCTCACAATATAAAGTACAGCCTAAAATGAAGTGGTGGCAGGAGCTCCAGGAGACTCACATTGTGCCCAGTCAGAAAGGAAAGAGACAGGGTCTGCTGCTCAACTCCCTTTCTCCTTTTCACTCTGTTAGGGACCCCAGCCTAAAAATGCCACCCACATTTAGAGTTGGTCTTCCTCAACTAACCTAATCTAGAAACCCCTCACAGACATGCCCAGGGGTTCGGTTTTTCAGCTGACAAGATCACCTATCACTATCTTTTTGAAAATTTTTATTTATGTGAGTTTTGTGTGTGTGTGTGCATATGCGCACATGCGCGTGTGCATGCCACATGTGTGTAGGTATATATGCCACATGTATGTCATAGAGACTAGAGAGGGCTTTGGATCCCCTTGGAGCTAGAGTTACAAGCAATTGTGGTACCTGGTATGGATGCTGAGAACTAAACTTGAGTCCTCTAAAAGAGCAGCAAGTGCTTTTATCCGTTAAACCCCCTTTCCAGCCCCTACAATTTCTTTCTTCCTTCTTCCTTTTCCTTCCTTCCTTCCTTCCTTCCTTCCTTCCTTCCTTCCTTCCTTCCTTCCTTCCTTCCTTCCTTCGCTTTTTATAGTTTATTTACTTCTATTCATTTGCATTGATATTTTGCCTGCATGTATGTCTGTGGTGGTTGTTAGATCTTGGAGTTAGGGACAGCTATGAGCTGCAATGTGGTTGTTGGGAATTGAACCCAAGTCCTCTGGAAGAGCAGTTAGTGCTTTTAACTACCAAGCCATCTCTCCAGCCCCTGCCCTACAATTTCTTAAATGTAAAGAATAAACTTTTTTAAGTGTCTTTTAACTCAATTTATCTTCAAATCTACTTCTATGTTAAATGTTTTCACTCCTTACACTTGACTAAGAGATCAAAGCATTAATTTGGGTTTGGGGAGCTGGCTTAGTGGATAAGAGTGCTTGTTGTCCTACTATGAAGTCCTAAGTTCAGATCATGAGCACCCACATAAAAGCCAGGTAGAATTGTGAGCCTGTAACTCACTCAGTGCTGGAGAGGACAGATGTGGATCCCAGGGGCTTGATGTCCAGTCAGCCTCGCAGAAGTGTAAGCTTCTGATGCAGGGAGTGTTTCAAGGCCATAAGGTAGAGGGAGGACACTGATGTCTTTCTTTTGCTGTCACGTAAGTGTGCACAGGCATAGATAGGATCTTGAACGCTTGCACCTTCACACACACACATCATATTGTGGCACACACACTAACAATAATAATAATAAACTAGATGTGGTAGTGCACCCCTTTAATCTTAATCTTAGCACCCAGGAGACCAAGGCAGGTGGATCTCTGTGAGGTCAAGGCCAACTTGATCTACAACTCAAGTTCTGGGACAGCCAGGGCTATGTAGAGATACCTTGTCTCAAAGATAGATAGATAGATAGATAGATAGATAGATAGATAGATAGATAGATAGATAGATAGATAGATAGGAAGGATGGATTTTTTTAAAAAAATTATTGTAGACCAAAGCATTTGTGCATATTTTAAAGTCAGGGAGCACAATTGCCAATATGGTAATAACCTCTCATGGGGACTTCACTGTGCACAGGCATTGAGGGGAGGTGGTGGTGCACGCCTTTAATCCCAGCACTTGGCAGGAAGAGGCAGGCAGATCTCTGTGAGTTCGAGGCCAGCCTGGTTTACAGAGGGAGTTCCAGGAGAGCAGGGGCTACACAGAGAAACCCTGTCTCGAAAAATCAAAAAGAAAAAAAAAGGAAACAAGTGTGTGTTGAGCACCTGCTATAAGCAGACTAAATTGACTAAGTTAAACATAGGGTTTTTGTTCCCTACCCCCACAACTTTTTGAAAAGTTGCTGATGAGGTAGGTGTGTGCTTTAACCACCAATAAGTGAAGACAGAACCTAGCACTGGATATTTGTTTAGTCTGCATATAAACACCTCCTAGGCTCCAAAGGCCACTCAAAATTCTGAATCTGAAAAAGACAATGGATGTTCATTTATTTTGTTTTAAAAATACCTGTTAGATAAGCAATAAACTGATAACCTGAGAGAGGGGTAGTAGTTATTGGGAGGAGAATTGAGTTTAGATACTTGGTTCTTTGACTTCAGGTTGCAGGTGCCTCTGAGAACTTATTTACAGGCTCTGTTGCTACCCACAGGTCCTCTCCCTGACTATACCCCTCCAGAAATTTTTTCTTTTGAAAGTACTACTGGATTTACACTGTATGGGATGTTGTATAAGCCTCATGACCTACAACCTGGGAAGAAATACCCCACTGTACTCTTCATATATGGTGGTCCTCAGGTGAGTATAGAAACTCTGTGTGTGTGTATTTTAGGTGATTTTTATTTTATATTTATGAATATTTTTATCTACATGTATGTCTGTGCACCATGTGCATGCCTCTGATGCCTGCAGCGAAATCTCTGGTAATTTACATTTATATTCATTCATTTCCAAAATAGTAGTTAGCAATAGGTCCTATCTTAAACACATTGAGAAGAAATTAGACCTGTTAAGCCTCCTTCCCAGGCAGAAGGAACAATAAACAAGGTCGTGGAGGAAGAACCCCTTGATATTGTTGGTGTAGGAGGAGCTTAGCTCACAGTGGGAGGAGAGAGGTAGACTCAGGTCTGGCACAGCAGGATTTTTAGTCGCTGAACCATTTATTTATTTATTTATTTATTTATTTATTTATTTATTTATTTATTTATTTATTTATTTATTTATTTATTCTTTATCCCCTTTTCCTTCCTTCCTTCCTTCCTTCCTTCCTTCCTTCCTTCCTTCCTTCCTTCCTTCCTTCCTTTTTTCCTTTCTTTTTTTATTTTTTTGAGATAGGGTCTCAATGTGTGACTCTGGCGGACCTGGAACTTGATCTCAATGTGTAGCTCTGGCTGGCCTGGAACTTGATTTATAGACCAGGATAGCCTCGAACTCAGAGAAATCTGCCTGCCTCTATCTCCCAAGTGCTGGGATTAAAGGTGTGCACCACCACTACCTGTCCCTAAACTCTTTTCATTATCTTTAGCAGGAGGACATGTCAAACAGAGATTAAAATATAATATAAACTGGGCCTGGTGGTGCATACCCGTAATCCCAGCTTTGGGGGAGATAGGGGACAGAGGCAGGAGGATTGAAAGTTCCAAAACCCCACTCACTTACTAAGTGAATTCAAGTCCAGCCATGGCAGCTTAGTGATACTCTCTCTTAAAAGGTAAAAAGGGACCTGAGGATGCAGCTCAGTGGTAATTGCCTATCATGTGCAGGGCCCTAGGTTCAACCCCCACACTTGCCAAATACACACAGACACAGACACATGCACCAGTAACCTAGTAGTCTGTTATCAGCCATTGTTCATTGCATGCGCTCTCTTTCATAACACTAGCAGTGCAGTAGTTGTTTATATAACATTTCCCCAAACACAGGAGTAATGTACCATGTCATGCCAGCTGTGCTGGCATTAGATGACAGGAGCGTCTTGGCTCCGTCACGATCCCATGGGACTGCCATTCTATGAGTGCTCTGAGCTGATTGAAACATGAACATACTGCGTGTGATTGAACTGTCTTTTCATGAGATAAAACTCCATTTCTAATAAAACACCAAGATGCATTTATGTTCTTGGTCAGTTTGAAGTGTAGTCTCTAGGGTAATAAAGTAATTTAAAAATTATGATACTTTCACACTAATTTGTCTAACAGGAAAAAGATAACTGTGCTTATCGCGGTGTTTATTAAAGGCAGTGGTGGTGCACGCCTTTAATCCCAGCACTGGAGAGGCAGAGACAGATGGATCTCTATGAGTTCAGGCCAGCTTGGTCACCAGAGATAGTTCCAGGACATCTAGAGCTGTTACACAGAGAAACCCTGTCTCGATAGATAGATAGATAGATAGATAGATAGATAGATAGATAGATAGATAGATAGATAGATAGATAGACAGACAGACAGACAGACAGACAGACAGACAGATAATAAGCTACATATTTCCACTGTCACTCAGCAGCAACTCCAGAAGAGACAAGCAGGGAGGGAAGATGTTTCTAATTGTCCTTTTCACTGTTACTTGAATGGCATAACTCTTCAGAGTATATAATTCAGCAACTTTCTCCTTGGGGTAGATTAACTCTCTTCCCTTACTTAAAATTTAAGTATCGGGCTGGAGATATGGGTCAGCAGTTAAGAGCACTGATTGCTCTTCCGGAGGACCAGGGTTCAATTCCCAGCACCCACATGGCAGCTCACAACGGTCTGAAAATGCAATTCCACAAGATCTGACACCTTCACACCAATGCACATAAAATAAAATTATATAAATCATTAAAAAAAATTTAAAACTTAAATATCTGTGCTAGAGTGAAGTCTGGTATTTGCTGTGAAGGTTTGAGAGTGAAACTAAGCGTGGAACAGCATAAACATGCAAAGACTTGAGTAAATTTCAAATTGTATCACTTCACACTTATATTTTAAAGGCAAGATAATAGTAAGTACATTCAGCCTTCTGATTTCTGCAGTCTTTCTGTCTCACGGTTTATATGCTGCTACATAAGATCACTGAAGCTGTTTCTTCTCCAGGTGCAGCTGGTGAACAATCGATTTAAAGGAGTCAAGTATTTCCGCCTGAACACCCTGGCCTCCCTAGGTTATGTGGTTGTGGTGATAGACAACAGAGGATCCTGTCACCGAGGGCTTAAATTTGAAGGCGCCTTTAAATATAAAATGGTGTGTGAGCATAGAACACTTTCTTCTCCAGATGTTTTCATTTTCTTACACTTTATTCGTCGAGTTGGGGGAGGACCTGAGTGACAGAGTGAGGAAGAATGTGTTAGAATTGAGCAGTGGGATGAAAGGTTTGCCTTACAGTAGGCTCACTCCTGTCTACCTGTCTGCCTCCCAGGAGCTGAGGTAGAGACACTTCTGTTAGAATGCCCTGTCCAGTCTGGACTTTGACCTTGGCCATAGGCAGTGCCATATACTCCTCAGGAATGCCTGAGGTTTGTTCTGTCCTCTGTGAAGAGGGAAACAACTGGGTAGTTTCCTCCTTGTGACAAGCCTCTTTCTCTCTGCAGGAAGCTTTAAGTGCTACCTTTTAGAGATGCCCCAGGTCCTTTCTGCTGCTGTGGGAAATGATGACAGTCCGATGTTCCTTTTGCACAGTAAGGCAGTCCCTGTGGCTGCCAGTGTGTTGGACATGCTGAGTAAGAAATGGGATGGTCTCCCACAGCCAGTTCTTTGACCTTATGTTGTATTCTCATGTAAGTTTTTTTTTTTTTTTTTTTTTTTTTTTTTTTTTTTTTTTTTTTTTGCTCAGTGAGGTGAGACTGTGCGCTGGCAGGCCAAGTGACACCTTGGGTGGTACTGGTTGGAATTAGGACATCCAGAGCTTTGCTAGAAGTATCGTGCTGGGAGAAAGGAAGGTCAGGCTTCAGGGGTAATGCCCTTTGCTTTACTTCACTAAGTGCTAAAAGGAGAAGTAAATTTCATCAATCTCTTAAAGGGGCTGAATTTTTGTCTTTGGATAGAGGAAGGCTTGTTACAAGGAAGTTGCTGGCCTCTTAGCAGACAACAGAACAAATGGAGTGGGAGACACCCTGCAGCTAGGGGCAGCATGGGCAGGAAAGAACTCCATGACTATGGAGACTAAACTCTTCACAGGGCGGCAGGTTCTTAACTATAAATGCTTTTTTTTTAATTTCTTGAGGGGAAAATAGAATATCAGTTGTTAATAAACTCTAATCTGAGAAAGGAAACCCTCCAGGAGTTTTTAGTTAAAAACATAGAGCAGCTTTAAAGAGTTCTCTAAGACAGGTGTGCATCAGAGCCAGTGAGCTGTTTCCCCGTGTTTGACAGGGTCAAATAGAAATTGATGATCAAGTGGAAGGACTCCAGTACCTAGCGTCTCAGTATGACTTCATTGACTTGGATCGTGTGGGCATTCACGGCTGGTCCTATGGAGGCTACCTCTCCTTGATGGCACTGATGCAGAGATCAGATATCTTCAGGGTATGTGGCTACTATTGTATTTGTTTTTGTAATTGGCCAGAATTCTCTGTTAATTGAAGGCACATGAAAATGATTTTTCTGAAGGGTCAGGTGTTGTCAGTAATGTAGAATGTTGGGTTTATGTGTTTTACAACATGGGAAATGTATCTTTAGTGTTAACACAGATTTAAAACAATTGTCAGCTTGATCACCAATTTGTAACTACTTATTTATGCCAAAGATTGATAGTTATGATTAGTAAAACACACATATACTTTCTGGATTGCAATTGCTTGTTTAATTATTAAACTACGTCTTTGCCCGATACCCTGGTATGTTCCTAACAGCTAGCACTGCTTAGCACAAGTAAATCCTCAATAGATCTGTGTTCAGTACAGGGCCCTGGGCTGGTCTCCAGCACTTAAAAAAAAAAGAATGTTGACTGAACTGAATTTTATTTATTTGATAGTGAGGTTTGTACCTAGGACCTCTTGCAGACTGAGGCACATGCTCTACCACCAAGCTACAGACCACTGAGTGAACTGAATCTTTACATGCTTATAATTCTTGAAATTCTTAGAACATTATATTATTATAAAAAATTATACATTAGGGGCTGGAGAGATGGCTCAGAGGTTAAGATCACTGGCTGCACTTCCAAAGATCCTGAGTTCAATTCCCAGCAACCACATGGTGGCTCACAACCATCTGTAATGAGATATGGTGCCCTCTTCTGGCCTGAAGGGACATATGCAGGCAGACCACTGTATACTTAATAAAGTAAATTTTAAAAAAATACATTATAAAGAAAATATATAAAGATGATAGTTACTAAGAAAATAGGGATGAATGGATAAATGAGATGTCTCTGCAGGTAAACCTGCCACTAAGCCTGACAACCTGAGTTTGATCCCCAGGACTCAAGAAGTGGAAAGAAAGAACCTCCTAAAGTTGTCCTCTGACCTCTACAGCCATGACACGCCTCATGTGCACCCACCTAAATTTACACATACTTGTGCACATACAAATAAATAAAGATATAATTTATTTAATGTTAAAAAAGGAAGAAAGGGTCTAGTGAGGTGGCTCAGCAGGTAAACTACCTGCACCAAGCCTAATGAACTGAGTTCAGTGCCCCGACACAGTGGAAGAACAAACTCTGACTTCGTATACATGACCACACACTCAGACAACTAAATAGCTAAGTGTAAACAAGAAAAAAGGTAATAAAAATTTGAATTAGGAGCAGTACTTTTTTTTTTTCCCCCGTTGTCAAGGCAGAGTTTCTCTGTGTAACAGCCCTGGTTGTCCTGGAACTCACTTTGTAAGCCAGGCTGGCCTCAAACTCACAGAGATCCAACTGCTTCTGCTTCTGCTTCTGCTTCTGCCTCCCCAGTGCTGGGACTAATGGTGTACACCATGCCCTGCTTAAGAGTAGTAATTTTTTGTTTTGTTTGTTTGTTTTTCAAGGCAGAGTTTCTCTGTGTAATAGCCCTGGTTGTCCTGGAACTAGCTCTTGTAGACCAGGCTGGCCTCAAACTCACAGAGATCTGCCTGCCTCTGAAATCCTGGGATTAAAGGCGTGTGCCACTACCACCTGCCTAAGAGTAGTAATTTTTATATCAGTAATATGATTTTATTTTACAAAGAGCAATTTTTTTATCATTTGTTTTGGGGGTTTGTGTGTGTGCTCTCAAGCTGGCTTTTCTGGTGTGGCTAAAGATGGTCTTGAACTTCTGATCCTCCTGTCTCTACCTTCTGTGTGCTGGACTTATAGGTGTGCACCTCCATGCCCTGTTTATGAGAAGTAATCTTTAGAAACAAAATAGCGAGACATGGTAGCACACACCTGTAGTCCTAGGACCTGGGACAGAGAAATAGAAGGATTGCCAGCTTGGGGCCTGCCTGGGATACATAAAGAAATACTATCTTTAAAAAAAAATAAATTTAATTAGAATATCTAAATATAAAACTATATAGGAGCCTTAAATGAGGTAATTGTTTTAAACTCTAAATTGAAAAAAAGAAGAAAAGAAAAGGCTCAAAGGAAGGGGAAAACATGAAACAGTAGGTGCTTTTTTAAAAATGAAGTTGGCAGTTGTCACACCTATTTCCATTGGGGGATAGTTTTCACAGAGGTCGTCTTACTTTCGTTCAGTATCTGCTTTGAATAAAGAGACTCAGTTTATATTTCAGATGTACCAGATTTAGGGGTTAGTGTCAGTTGTGCCTGTGGCACATGAAGCTTACTGACTCACAGAGTATCAGATTTGTGACCTTGGCACCTGATTTCAGGTTTCTGCGTGTCCTGAAATGTGTGTCCAGTAGTTAGGACTAAAGCCTTGCAAAGATAATTTTAGCTTATACATTTGCCGTTGTAAGTTCTGTCTGCTAGCACTCTTTTCTGGGACACAGCTGCTGACTGTCTGTGTTGTCGTATGCAGGTTGCTATTGCTGGGGCCCCAGTCACTCTGTGGATCTTCTATGATACAGGATACACGGAACGTTATATGGGTCACCCTGACCAGAATGAACAGGGTTATTACTTAGGATCTGTGGCCATGCAAGCGGAGAAGTTCCCCTCAGAGTAAGTTCATGCTTTAAAATGAAGGTTGGCAATTTTAAATGGTGTTTTAAAAGCTTTAAGAATGATGATAAAAACTAAATACTGAAAATTAAACTAAGACTAATATTTTATAAATACTAAAAAGTTCCTTTTTCCACCTCCTCAGTACTGGGGATTGAGCCCAAACCATTGTGTAGACAAATGTTCCATCACTAACTGCTAAACTGCTCAAGTGGGATGGATGTCACTCAGAACCAGATTAAAAGCTATTTCAGATACTGTACTGGGAGAAGAATTTTTATGTATTTATGGTTATTTATTTATCTTTATAAATAGTATTTGAGGCAGTTACTTACACTGAAGGAAATTAAGTTCGTTATTGTGTCAAAGTGAAAGGAAGTCTGTGTCAGCAACAGGGTCTTCACACAAAGGTGTTCTAGGAACATGTTTCATAAGAAACTAAAGATGCTTTTCATTACATGTGGCATCTGATTGCTGTAATACAGAGTTAATGTTGAAAACAATGAGTCCTCAACCTGACAGTACAGTAGCATTAGCTGTCGTCAGTTTAAAGGAGCTACGTGGTCAGCCCTAATGCTCTTCCTCTGTCTTGCCTAATCTTCCAATATTTTTTCCTCCAGACCAAATCGCTTACTCCTCTTACACGGATTCTTGGATGAGAATGTTCATTTTGCACACACCAGTATATTGCTGAGTTTTTTAGTGAGGGCTGGAAAACCGTATGACTTACAGGTGGGTTGTTCCACATTTTCAAATTCAGTGTGGTGGTGAATAGTGAAAGATTACCCTGGAATCTAACAAAATGAGAACTAGGGCTAAGTTTATAGCTGTGTTCGCACTCTGCCCAAGAACACTACAGTAATAAGCATACTTTAGTTGATAAATAATAATAACCAGACTTTAGTTGATAAAAATTAAGATTCTCCTGAAGGCTGACTGAAACATGGGCCTGTCCAGTTAAATGGCTTATGTGTCTGTGATTGTTCAGTCTGTAGGCCTGGAAATGGCTGCCGAACCAACCCACTTACTGCCTTTCTTTGCTTCCGTTCTCCCATTTCATGGGTGAGAAAATATTACATGAAGAGGGTTTCAAAGACTTGATTGTGGGACTGGAGAGATGACACATCAGGTGACTCACAGCTGCCTGTAACTGCAGCTCAAGGAGATCTGACACCCTCTACTGGTCTCCATGAACTCTTGTGTACAAATGCTGCATATACATACACTTAGACACACACACACATGCACATAAAAGATAAATTTTTTTTAAGATATGATTTCGAGATCTTTTACTGTTCATTTTTTTACATTGTCATGTGAATAAAAACTAATGGGTTACCCTCCTTCATAGCTCCTTTGTGCAAAATAAATAAACGAATAAAGATTTTTGAGTGGCCGGGCGATGGTGGCCTAACCTTTAATTCCAGCACTTGGGAGGCAGAGGCAGGCAGATCTCTATGAGTTTGAGGCCACCCTGGTCTACATAGTTAGTTCCAGGCCACCTAGAGCTGTTAAACACAAAGAAACCTAGTCTTGGGGGAAAACTTATTTTTTGAGAAGGTTTTAGGAGAATCTGCTTTTAGACAGGTATAGTGTCACATATCTATGAGCGCATGTCCTGGAAGGTAGAGTCAGGAGGCTCAGGAACACAATACTACATAGCAAGGTAGAGGCTAGGCTACATGAAACCTCCCCAGAACAAGGTGTGTGTGTGTGTGTGTGTGTGTGCGCGCGCGCATGCCGCTTGATTCCTCTTGTTCTTTAAGATTGTATGTTCATGAGAAATTATAACCTTTCCTTTTCTTTTGATGTTTCAGTTGACATTTCTGCCCTGTTAAACTGTGACACATTTGTCTATAGTTAGCAGTTTTCAAGCATTTTGATCTCAGAAGTTTTTTACATAGCGCAAAGCCTTGTTTGTGTAGGTTATGTCTACAGTGGTGGTGAGCATGGGGACACATGCAGGCAGAAGCAGGAAAATCCAGAGGGGGGGGTAGAACCTCATAGAGAATTAAAACAGAGACAAATATTTATTTTAAAGGAACAGTAATAAATTACTATATGTTAACACAAATTACATTTATCTTGGGGCGAAAATAATTCCAAAACAACTTACAGAGAAAAATGCTGTTATTTTATTTTTGTTACTACATTTCTGCATTGAGTCTGATGTGTTGCGTTGTTATGACTAAAGTATATGCAAAGAGGCTGAACAGATGTTTCAGTGGTTTAGGAAGGACCTTAGTTTTCTTCTCAGAATCCATGTGAGACAGCTCGCATGTGCCTGTTACTCCAGCTGCAAGGGATCTGACACCTTCTTCTGGCCTCCATGGGGCTCCACACATGTGGTACATACACACACGCACACAGAGAGAGAGATTTTAAATTTAAGTATATGAAGAAAATTGGGCCTCACTAAGTATGTGTTAAGAAGTGGGAGGAGGGCTGGAGAGATGGCTCAGAGGTTAAGAGTATTGTCTGCTCTTCCAAAGATCCTGAGTTCAATTCCCAGCAACCACATGGTGGCTCACAACCATCTGTACCGGGATCTGGTGCTCTCTTCTGGCCTGCAGGCATACACACAGAATGTTGTATACATAATAAATAAATAAATATTAAAAAAAAAAAGAAGAAGAAGAAGTGGGAGGAATGAGTTAGCCCTCCAGCTAGCTTTTGTGGAAAACTAAACCCATATTTATGACATTTCCATGCTCTGTCGCATTAAAATCTATTATTCCTTGGACTGAAGACATGACTCAGGGTTTAGAGCGCTTGTTGTTTTCCAGAGGACCTGAGTTCTATTCTCAGCATCTACTGATGGCCCACAACCACCTGTAACTCCAGTTCTAGGGCAGCAGTTCTCAACATTCCTGCATATCAGATATTTACATTACAATTTATAACCGTAGCAAAACTACAGTTATGAACTAGCAACGAAAATAATTTTATGGTTTGAATCACCGCAACATGAGGAACGGTATATCAAAGGACCGCAGCATTAGGAAGGGTGAGAACCAGTGTCCTAAGGGGTCTGATGCTGCCTGCCCTCTGATCTCAAGCACCAGGTATACACATGGTGCACATACATACACAGACAAACATTCATACACAAAAAATAAATCTGAAAAAAATGATACTTGACCTAGTACATCAAATGGATCTTTTTACCCTCGAATTGATATCTGGAAAATACAGATGTTAACTCTTTATTGTATCATGTTTTTGTTTTCATTGGTTTTGTGATTATTAAGTTGGTTGGGTTTTTTTGCAATATGATCTCACCCTGTATCCCCGCTTGACCTGGAACTCATTATATAGACACCAGTGTCCTTGAGTTTACTAATATCCACCTGCTTCTGCCTTCCAAGTGCTAGAAATCTAGAGATAAGCCCCCACCCCCATGTTTTTATAGTCCTGCACTGTAGTAGTGTGCAGCTGAGGTGGAGTGAGCTGCTAGTTTAAACAGCAGGTAGAGTAAGGGTTACAAAGATGTCTACCCCAGGGTTCTAGTTTATAAAATTCTGATTTTTATACCACTTAAATGAAAGTGGCATGTTTCTTTTTCACTGCATCTGTGTGATAGAGACGACTACAGCTCCCAGGATAATGCCTCGTCTCACACCCCGCCAGGGTTCCTCCACTGGAGTTCAGTGAATGGGCACATTCAAAGCCAGTGGTGTCTACGGACTTTTTTTCCTTTTTTTTGGTTTTTGTTTTTTCCAAACAGCCTTAGCAGTCCTAGAACTAGCTTTGTAGATCAGACTGGCCTTGAACTCTGCCTCCCGAGTGCTGGAATTAAAGGCTTGCACCATCAACACCTAGCTATCTACAGATTTTTTTTAAAGGTAGTTTTTTGTTTGTTTGTTTTTGAGACAAGATTTCACTATGTAGGGTCAGGCTGGCCTTAGTTTCATGATCCTCCTGCATCCACCTCTCATATGCTGGGTTGAAGATAGTTTAGACCTTGTGTAGCATTTGAAACCTGCAGACCACACTCAGGCAGTGAACCACTGAAGAATCCTCCTGAAGCCTTATGGGTAGGTGCATAAAGGCTGTTAAGAAGATCCATGGCATAATATGTATTAGTATAAAACCACAGAGAGATTGTGTTCCATATTGATGATCCAACTAGAAATCTCTGGAAAGCATCCTAGCACATGAGCCCTCGAGACAGGAAGATCTGGAGTTTGTAGTTGGTTATCCCTGACTACATGATGAGCTTTAGTTCAGCCTGGGCTACATGAGATCCAGTCTCAAAAAGCAGTATATAAATTACTGTGTCTAGAAAGTTTTGGAAAGAGGAGTATCACTAAACTTTGTCTTCTTGCCTCTGCTCTTTGTTGTGAAGATCTACCCTCAGGAGAGACACAGCATCAGAGTCCCTGAGTCTGGAGAACATTATGAACTGCACCTGTTGCACTACCTTCAGGAGAACCTCGGATCACGCATTGCTGCTCTGAAAGTGATATAAGTGACTGTAGAACGCGGGTGTGCACTGTCACACCTCACGAGGAGGGTCAGTCAGTGGAAAAGCCAGACTGATGATCGAACTTTGGTACCCACGACGTAAGATCTACTTCTAAAAGTAAATTTGGTGCCGTGCAGAAATCTGCAGTTAATGGATAGTAATCTAACACCTTACCCATCCACATAGAACGAATGACGTATTTCCAAGAGATTGTTCAGCAGTACCACGAGAATACTGAAAGAAGCAAGGCGTCAGCGCCACATATTCACACTAGCCTATTTTCACTTTTACTAGCAGTGTAAGCCTCTTGGACTTCATTAGTGGATTTCACAGTATACTTCTGGGTTTGTTAAAATATGATAGTAGTGATTGGTTTGATTCAATTCCAGGATCTGACTAGTTATGGATCGATAGCACTTCTGTCTAATTGAATAGCTTATGCTTCGTCACTTGGGTGTATCCAGCATGTCATGAACTAATTACTATGAAGCTTATGACTTTCCCAGTCATTAATGAATTTTCAAGGATAACTTAGTGGCCTCCTAAAGATACTTACTTGGGCTCTGACAAGTTTTTAACCAATTTAAACAGCATCTAGTATAAATAATTCTCCTTTTTCTTTGATGATATGATGGAGTGGGATTTCCTTTTACATAAAGGCTATGTAGCATGAGTTTACACAAGTCTCAAGATGTTGACAATTACAGACAAAAATTTTTTAATCAAATTATTTGAGAGCTTGAAAATTAGCAGGCAAGTTTTTCTCCTTTAAGGAACAGAAAATGTATGTATTCATTTGTATTCTTAGAATGTAATGGTGCCCATTTTCATTTGGCCTTTCCTTTACTAAACTGTTCCAGAGTTTCCAGGAGGTAGAAGGATTACAGGGAGTGGGGAGACCCTGGGGCAGGGAGTGACGGGGAAAGGAGGCAGCCAGGCTCTGCTTAAGAACTGAGTAAAATAGTTCAGCAGAAATATTCACTAGAAAACCTGGGTAAATGTAAGCTTCCTGCGTGGCTGGGAACCAAAACTAGGAAGTCAGGCTTTGCCAGTGCAGCTACAGGGTCAGCATTCGGAGGAGTACTTTTATAATTCCAACTTCTTGTTATTTTTCCTTTCAACTTGAGAAACCTTACAGATCTAAACCTTAACTTTTGTTTGTTTTTTCATTTTTCAAGACAGAGTTTCTCTTTGTAGCCCTGGCTGTCCTGGAACTCACTCTGTAGACCAGGCTGGTCTCGAATTCAGAAACCCACCTGCCTCTGCCTCTGAGTGCTGGGATTAAAGGAATGCACCACCACAACCCAGCTAACTTTTTTATCTGAATGTAATTTAGATATCACTAGTTTAAAATAAAAAGTTTCCAGACCACTTCTTTGCTGTAAGCTAATCCCTGACAAACCATGGCGCTCTCAGTGTTGAAAGCCTATCAACAGTTTTTTACTTAGCCATGACATCCTCCTGGCTTAGCCTTCTTGCTTAGCTGAAGGGAATACATTAAGGTTTTTAAGGTTGGTGTCTGCTCTTTAGGACCTTCCAGTATTGGATGAGTCCCATTGGAGCCAGGCTCCGGTGGGTTTGACCCTTTTTTAATCACAAACTCCAGTGTTTAGGAAGTTAGAGTGATTTAAAAGTCACTCCAGAAAACTTGCTGTGTTTCCTTCTCCCTGCCACAGCAGGTCCCTTCCCAAGAACAGTTGGCATTAGTGAGGGTGGTAGCAGTCATGGGTGATCAGAGGTGGGGGGAAGGGAGGGTGATACCTGCTGGCTGTGTATTTATGCTGTATGATAGAGTCCACAGTTTTTCTTATTGTCTTATCTATTTTGACTTTAATGCTTATGACATTTTCTCGTGCCAAAATTTGTTTATATTTTTCAAAGTTAAATTAAACTGATTTGGGTAACTTTCCTTCCCCAACAAAGTATTTCCCTCATCACCTAAGTATCTGTCTTGGCTGTTGAGGGTGGTATTCGCTGGACCAGCTAGCCTCAAGTGCTGCTTCTTCCATTCTAAAGAGGAGTGACATAAAGTAGCTCTCAGTCGTCCTTTTGAAATCTCTCACCCTCAAGTTTGCTTTACAATGAGACATCTCTTATTTTATGCAAACAAACCTTCGAGAGCTCCACCTATCCTAGCTTCTTCTTGCGTTTATAACCATGTCATTTAAACGTCATTCTACTTCTCTGAGGGGAAAGTTGCACAAAAGTGGCTTGGCTGGGTTTGCTTCTACAGCAGTGTTACATCGGTTAGTGGAGCAATCGGAAGCCACGCTAAAACTGTCCTCTGACTGTGGATGTCAACGAGAAAGGCAAGAGTCTGTGAAACTAGAAGTTTGATGGGAGCCAGAGAGTTTCCCAGGCTTGTATGGAGTGAGTGCACTGGAGCAGCAGGCCGGGGAGGTTCATCCAGGACCCTGAGCTCACAGAGGCACGAGCTCCCTCAGTTTGGATAGAGACTAAGAGCGTGCACTTCTAACAAAACAGGCTTCCCGGTGCTTCTGGTCAGGTCACTGTAGACGGCTTTAAGGAACTGTTCTGTAAAGAACAAAATTGGAGTCAGAGAAAAGGTGACTTTTACATTGGATGATTGTTAAGAACCCAAAACAGGCCCCAGGTGGTGGTGGTACACACCTTTAATCTCAGTTCTCCGGGGGCAGAGGCAGGCAGATCTTTGTGAGTTCAAGGCCAGCCTGATCTGCGGAATGAGTTTCAGGACTGTTAAACAGAGAAACCCTGTCTCAGGGGAAAAGAAAAAAAAAATGAACTCAAAACAGTAGTCAAGAAAACTGTCATCTGTGATAATTGTGGACCTCTTCTTGGAGAAGCAGGAACAAATAACTCTTTATTTGGGAGATAATGGCTTTTCCCATTTCTGACTCTCCCAAAACCTCACACAGGAAGGTACAGTCATGACACACGTCTGGCCCTTTAAAGCCGTGAGCCATGGAGGGGTGTGTGTGTGCTTTTGTTCAGGTGTTTCCTGCCTTTACCACATGGTTCTCTCTGCAGGTGAGAAGACTCCAGTCAGAGCTTGCATTGTTACAGAATCATAAATTTTCCCACTGGAACAAATCTTTAACATAGCCCAGTGTTCTTGTTTGCTAGGGGAAAAGACTTCACCTGAGACCCCACAGTCGGCTAATACACAGGAGCAGCCTCCGTCTGCGCCTGCCTCGTGGTAGTTATGTAATATTTAAGAAAGGCAGGGCTTTTTAAAAAGTATTTATTAATATATTCCTCTGAAACACTTTAAAGGGAACCACATAAAAAATGGTTCATTTAATCTGTTTTAATGCTAGGCATGCTTATTAAAGCAGAACTTGTGATGAGTGTAACATTCTGAAGTTAACTGAAATGGTTATACTCAATGTCTTCGTTGGTGTCCTGGGAGATAAGGACACAGAGTGCTTGCTCAGGCCCAGGAGCCCATCTTGAGCTACTTGATGTTAGACAAGAGCCTCAGCCTGGTCTAAACTATGTAATGTGAGAGTGTCCTCTCCCAGCAGATGAGGGAACTGGAAACATCCCCAGCTCCGCCCCTCCTCTCCAGTCGGCCCTGCTGACCGCTTGTGCAAGGAAGGTGCTGAGCTCTCGACAGCTGTTCCAGAACTCCCTTGCCGACACAGGGACTTTGTCTATACATTTGGTTTTAAGTAACCCTAATACAAATTTATGTTGTTTTCAGCAAAGTTGAAATGGGGGGAAATCTTTAATTTTAGCGCATAAAGTGCCTGCTGTCTCAGCGCTGACGTGTACATGATCTGCATGTCTCTCTCCAGTAAGCATATGGGTCTCCTCATTTCCAGCCCCAGGGCTTTTAATCGTGTGATGTGAAGCATTAGTTTCGCTGCGTTTTATTCCAGGTTCTTGGTTGCAATAAAGATGCTGCTAAAATTACCTGACTTCAGTACTCCTTCCCTGTCTGTCCAGCCTTTGCTTCGGTGACTCACACCTGTGGAGTGCCTGCAGTGAAGAGAGAAATTGGGGCTGAGGGGCAGGATTATGTGGGAGTTGCAGTGCAAATACCATCTGCGCTGAGTGGGAAGTGTGCGAGCGCTGCTCAGTCCCTGTCTGAGGTTCCCAGATGCCAACCGGGGCAGAGGGTGCTTGGAGCCAGGAACTGACAGATACCCTCTGGACAACTGGGGGCTTCTGGGATATACCACTGACAGATACCCCCTGGACAACTGGGGGCTTCTGGGATATACCACTGACAGATACCCCCTGGACAACTAGGTGCTTCGGAACATACCAGTGGAAACTGATAGGGGTATCTTCAGGTTCTGAGTTTAGTGTAATGCTTTAACTCTTAAATTACACTTATTTGTGCCATGGTATGAGTGTGGAGGTCAGAGGACCCACGAAATGGGTCCCAGGGACTGATCTCAGGTTATCACGCGTGGCAGCAAGCTCCTTTACCTGTTGAGCCATCTACCCAGCCCTCTGTAGTGTTTTTTCCTTGGACAGTTCTGGAGGTTTTGCCATCCTTATTTTCCCGCTGTACAAAGGCAGGGCCTCTGGCACCCTAAGCAAGTCCTCAGCCTCTGAGCTATATCCCCAAGCCAACAGTTCTGATTGTTCACAGCAAGTTGACTTTGTCGATGTTCCAGAACACAGAGTTCATCTGGATTCTGTGGCTCACTGTAGTTATGTATAAAACATCACATGAACAAACAGGACTATAGGGTCTTTTTTGGTTTTGGTTTTGGTTTGTTTGTTTGTTTGTTTGTTTGCTTTTCGAGACAGGGTTTCTCTGTGTAGCTTTGGAGCCTGAACTGGGAACTCTGTAGACCAGACTGGCCTCGAACCCACAGAGAATCTGCCTGCCTCTGCTTCCCAGGTGCTGGGATTAAAGATGTGCCACCACCCAGCTAGGGTCTTTTGTATATAAAAAATTAGGAATAAAAGTTTGGGTTGGAGATGGCTCAGAAGTTAAGAGCACTCGCTGATCTTCCAAAGGACCTGGGTTCAAATCCCAGCACTCACTTAGCAGTTAACCATTTGTAACTTCAGTTCCAGGGGACCTAGAGCCCTCTTTGTGCCACCTCTGGCACAAAGCTCATATATGGTACACATAAAATAAAAGTAAAGTAATTGTGTAATTAGGATTTCCTAAACTTTCCACCATGTCACACACACACACATACACACACACACACAATTATTGTCTGAGTGTGGTAATCAATGCCTTTATTCCCAGCACTCAGGCAGGTGTGTTCTGTGAGTTTGAGGCCAGCCTGGTCTACATAGTGAATTCCAGGCCAGTTAGAACTACACACTTTAGGAAAAGTCCTGCCTTGGGGTGCAAAAAAAAGTACAACACGAGGGTAAACTGAGAAACACCAGAATAATCTGTTGAGATTGTAGCCAGAAGTCACCAGCCAGGTCCAACCCATTTTTTTTTTTTAATATTTATTTATTTACTATGTATACAATATTCTTTCTGTGTGTATGCCTGCAGGCCAGAAGAGGGCACTAGACCTCATTACAGATGGTTGTGAGCCACCATGTGATTGCTGGGAATTGAACTCAGGACCTTTGGAAGAGCAGGCAATGCTCTTAACCTCTGAGCCATCTCTCCAGCCCTTTTTTTTTAATGGTCCAACCCATTTCTAAAGAAAATTTATTATTATTACATTTGTGTGTTTATTGTGTGAGTGTGCATATGAAGGCAGGCAGCAACTTCTGGGAGTTTGGTTTTGAGCCTTCATGTGGATTCTGGAGACTGGACTCCAGACTAGACATGGTGGCATGTGCTTTTTAACTGAGACATCTCCCTGGCCCCACTACCAAGATTTGCCTCTGAATGTGCGCATAGTCTGTGTGGAACTATGACAGAAACTACCTTGTCTTTGATTCAGCCTGGACTGACTTCTGATGAGAAATCAGCTTCCCACCAGCTTGCATGCTGGGCTGGAAGTATTAGAGATATCCAGTGGCCACAGCTTCCACAGTGACAGGAGCAAACACAGCCCTAGAACCTTTCCACTGTTTGCGTAACCCCACCCACCCAGTGAATACAGCGGGCAGCAATGTGAGAATCTTCTAATTAGAGCATGGCTCCATGCGGGGGCTGCTATGGTTTCAGGAATTGCTGGGATTTAAGTGCTCATTCATCAGTCTGGCCCACAGTGCTCCACAGATCTGATGCCCTGGCTTTTCGATTCAGAAAACAAGCTGCCCCTGACAGAAATAGAGGTTTCAGCTATAACATAGACACTGGGATTGTCTAGATTGCTGTTTGCTTCTTCCTAAAACATTGCCGTCTCTGAACTGTCTTCCAGACTTAAGTTCTTGAGAGAGAAGTTTAGGGAAACAGCAGCGTAGTGGACCCACGCACGTGCCAGGAACACACACACCTGGGTAGGTAGTCTTTCTTGTTCAACAGTCCACTCGGGTGCGGGTGCAGTCCTTTGCAGGAAGTTGGGAAGTGTGTCCTCTGTGTAGGCTTAGTTAAGGAACACGTGATCATAAATATCCATACACTTGCATAGGCCTGTACGTTTCAGTCCAGTGCTGTGATGTCGGCCTTGCCGCTGAGCTGTCTCTACAGTTCAGTCTTTCCTCCTCATTCCTTTCACTGCTCCTGTCCCAGGGTGGGTCTTGTCTCCTGCTGGATACTTGCAGCAGCTCTCACACTAGCCTGATGGGGTAAAGAAAAAATTCCGGCCGGGTGGTGGTGGCGCACACCTTTAATCCCAGCACTCGGGAAGCAGATCTCTGAGTTAAAGACCTTGGTCAGTAGAGGGATTTCCAGGACAGCCATGGCTACACAGAGAAACCCTGCCAAAAAAAAAAAAAAAATCCTGAAAAGGGGGAAAGGAGAAAAAGCAAACATCTGAGCAGGCGTGATGGTACATATCTTTATTCCCAACACTAAGGAGATGGAGGCAGTTAAGTTGCAAGTTGGAGACCAGGCTAGCTA